GGCGGAACGGGAGGGGGCGGGTACAGCTGGCTCGGCCTCTAGATAGGCAGAGCCAGCTGTCACTCACGCAGCTGGGCGGATCTCGACATCGGGATCCGCTCTGGCGTCTCAGTATACTGCGAGCGGTAGCTTGCGGTATACTGAGCTTAGGGTAACGGGAGGACGCTAGTTTGTGTCCTCCCGTTACCCTAAGGAGAACTATGGGGAAAAACACTGACCCCATAGTTCTCCTTTTTTAATATTGATCATCTTTCCATTTGACATTTTCCCATCTATTTTGTCATTTTTTTTTTTTTTACTGCTTTATAATAACAATATCTTACACTTAAGATATGACTGGATATGTAATATAAATAGCTAGAAAGAACCTGCTTGGTGGCTGCCACTATTGCTTCTGTGTTTTGGTTTACATCGACTGTGTTAACCAGTACTGGCCTTTTTTAAATGTCTTATGGATTGGTAAACTAAGAGCCTGGTTCTACTGTTTGTATGAGCAGTGGTAGAATTGTCAGTGGGCATCCATTACATACACTAGATCTTGAGCGTAAAATGGAAGTCAAACCAAGCTGAAACACTTTTTTTTTTTTTTTAAATGGATACACTTGAGGGTTAATTTTACACTACCATTAGAGCTGTACTGTATTAAAAAGAAAAATAAAGGAATTTGTTTTACTTTTTAGTCTGTACTTGATGGTTATGGGTATGAGGTTTTGATTTGACCAAGGCCAAGGTGAGGCAGAAGAGTCACCTGCCTTAAATCCTGAACTGTGGTGGGTGCAGGTGTAGTGATGCCTCTTCTTCCTCTGCGCCTTCTGCACTGTGTAGAACTGAGCTATCAGACCAATAGCTCAGCTCTGCCGATAACACAGGGAGAGAACAGCTTTCCTGTGTAAACGGCAATCTCTGCTGTTTAGCGTCACAGCTGCCTACTCTGTATCAGCAGTTCTGTGCTATACTGATAAACCGGGCACAGTGACTGGCTGTCATACATGCATGCATGCATACATGCATGCATACATGCATGCATACATACATGCATACATACATGCATACATGCATGCATACATACATACATACATACATACATACATACATACATAGTGTAACCAAACATCTTTGCTTTGGGTGCCAGCAGACCTCCTGCCACTAATTTTTTTTCAAAAGTACCAATTTCAGATAGTGGTTAGATTATAAAATATTCAATTTGTTTTTGGGAGGTTGGGACGGAAAATTTAAGAACAAGCTGAAGTTGGAGCAACTGTATTTTGTTTTATGTTTTATAGAGAATAGGTATTAACAAGACCGATCCTGGATCACTGACGACTGAAGAGAGCAGCAGATTTGTACGCTTGGACATTGACCCTTCTACAATAACGTGGCAAAGAGGTAAGGGAGTGAAATAGAGCTGCAGCTAACGATTATTTTCAAAATCGATTAGTTAGCCGATTATTAAGTTCGATTAATCGGTTAATCGGATAAATAATGAAATAAAATGGCTCCAGTGATGGACTACTAGCTTGTATTGAGATTGCACTCCATCACAGGAGCAAGCTTGGAGCGGTGGAAGTAAAAAAGAAAAAAAATGTGAACAGGGCCAACTGATCGGAAGCCGATTAATCGATTATTGAAAAAGTTGACAACTTTTTCAATAATCGATTATAATCGATTATGTCGATTAGTTGTTGCAGCCCTAGAGTGAAACTATGGTGCATGTATTTAATTATACATATATACAAATATGTCTTGGTAACTGGTAAAATGTTTGCAAGAAAAAGAACATCCAACAACCATGTCCTGGAGGATTGAAGTTGAGATGCACTGGGGCAGACATCTCATCCTATTCTAGGTTTCAGCCAAAGCTTTTATTAAAGGACACCCCAGCCAGCTAAGAGTATCAACAAATAGTTTATGAATTTGAAATGTAATTTAAAACTATTTAATGTCCTTCTTTTTTCTTAGTATTTTTACACAATGTGTAAGCCCTAAACACCGAATTGTGTATTTTGAGACGACGCTTATATATAGCTATTACATTTATCAATTACTTGATTAGTTATAAAATGTCCAGTTAATGCCAGAATAATACCGGGTTTGAATGCTATATATCTGAAATGTGTGTGCTTTGTAGAGCATTGAACTGGATTTAACAGTAACATTTCTGTCCTGAAGTGTTTTTTTGACCAAATGTCCTGATGGTACAGGTTCATGGGGGGGCTCTCATCTATTTTTACAGAGAATAAAGCATGAAATGCCTCTTCCAGATATTCTTCCACATCACTGCATAGCAAGGGAGAACTAAGAAGGACATTTCAGTCCTGGAGTTTTCAGAAAAGAGCATTAAAAAATGTAAGCCTCAATGTTTTTTTAAATATTTTTTTAAAATGTTTGTGAATGGGAACATGTAACGCATATAAAGTAGATGTTACCCGAATTTGGCTTCAAAAGTGGGAATTCTTTGGCTCAACTTCTGCACTAAATGGGGGTTTCCTCTCACTGGTGGATAAAGGAAAAAGCATTAAGATTGCCTTGGTGTAAACTGTAGCTGAGTAGCACTTTGTTCTCTAACCTATTTGATTGCTTTACCTTCTGAGAATAGTCAAATGGCTGCCAGGACATATCTCATAAACATTATCCCATTATCTAACATCCGTGAGAAAAGATTGTGTTTAGGGAGTCAAAATTGACCAATCTGATTTGTGAAAATTGAACATTTGAAGCCCAATTTTTAGTTTTTAACATGCTTTCGGTTCCCCAACATTGTTCTTCTTTTTTTTTTTTAAATACCCCTTTTGCTTACCTCCCAAAATATTCCAGTTGGTGACCATGCACCTCCAGCCTCCTCTTTAGTTTTTGATCCTGCTGTATCTTGGGGAGGCACACCAGTATCCTCAGTAAGTAAAAGATCTGTATGCATTACCAGTGCTGAATTACGGGACTACAGAATGTGTAGCCATCAGCCAGATGACTGCTGGAGGTGTAACATTGGCTACCGGTGTGTCAGTTTCTGGCTTGAGTAAGACTGGGCATTGGTCAACCCCTGGAGGGGGTCGGGTCTAGATGTGCAGCAGTTATTGGACTTGGATCTTCTATGAGGGACCATGACAGCAGCGGCATATTTTTAAGTGTGAGACACTGACTGGCAGGACTGTGGACATGTGTATGTTCTTATGGCTGATGGTGAGAGAACAAACATTTGTTTTTTTTTTTCTTTCTTTTCTCAGAATCTTAAGTCCTCTTCCGGATCCTGTAGAGCTTTGGGTAGAATAAAGTCTCCACTCCACATCTTTTCTTATTAGTCTCTGCTTTCCACAGGCTTTTATATATGTGAGCTGACTGATGCTGAGGTCTTTGTCTCACTTTCCCTGCTGTGGAAGCCTGCTGTTGTGTGAAAAGGCTGAGTGCTAACAGAACACTAAAAAGTTACAAGGGTTGCCTGGTTGTTTTGGAGAACCCATTAGTGGGCACTCTGTTAGTCAGGAAGAGACTGAAGTTTAGTTACTAGCTCGGACAAATGTATGTTTAATGCTGTTGACTTACTGTAGAAAGCCCTCCTGCAATTCAACTGTTTGCTGGGTTGCTGAATAAAATGCATGGCAAAACTGCCTGGACTGTTCCTGGGGGTTCCTGTTTCATACATGGTTTACCACTGCTGATACCAGTTAAGCCTGTACTTTACTAATAGCAAAATTTAATGAAAAAAATATTTAAATTTAAGATGCAAGAACAATAAGGGGGCTCTCCTTGTTTATCTACTTCAAAAAATGCTGGTTTCCTGACTGCTTTGCTGATCTGATTCCATTGTTACTTTCTGAATCATTGACCATGAACTAGTTTTTCAGATCTAGTTTGCAGGTAAGAGAAAGGGTCAAGGTGGCATTTTCTGTAAAGCTCAATGCCATTTTTTTTCTTATGGGTGATGCCATGATTATCTTGATTATGCCATGCAGTGGGACTTTAAATAGTGGGCTAATGTTAAATGTTGCTATTGACTTATACTACAGTAAATATCATACTGAAGCAGTTTGTGATTCAGTTTTACGACTGACATATTTTACTTGCCTTGTCCTTTGTTGTTTAGTGAAATACATGATTGTATTTTTGCATTATGTTGAATCAATACATGTTTCCATCTTGTACTATATACTATTTGTCCTGTTAATAGGTCAAACCTTGTGTGCTCTTTCTTACAGTGGTTGATGTAAATGACAGATTCCTCAGGAAAATCACAGTTGGACAAGCAAACACCGAAAAGGGTTTTTCCCGCCAGGTATTACCAGAGAAATTTGCAGAATATTCTCATGGCTAGCAGTGATTTTATAGCTGCATTGTATATCTTATGTTTTGTGTGGGCTTTCTGGTTTTATGTAAAACCTCAAATGTATATGTGAAGTCAACATTATAATTAGCATAGGGAAGTACGCATGCAACATGTTCTAATATGAAAGCATTTTTTAAATGTATCTTTATATAAAGAAAACAAATATTGTTTTCTCATTTTAGATGGAATTTATTTGATATAAAGCCAGGAGGTCCCCCTTTTTTGTAAAGTATGTGGGATTGTAAAGTACATTGAGAACATGTACGTATTCCACAGTCCTCGAGTGCATGACAAGCATATTTTCTCCTAACCCCATACTGCTAATGTTCTCCATATTGATCCTGCATTTAAAAACAAAAAAGTCACTTTTCTTTATTGCTCTCTTCCAGAGTTTGACAGACTAAAAAGCAGCCCTAGGATAAAAAAAATGTTTGTTTGTTTGTTGGCACAACTGCTAAGATATTATCACTGGAATGCTCATGTGCGGAATGTCGCCTTACTAAAGCTGGTTTAAAGACATATGATACAAACTCGTAAAGAGACGCGCACAGTCATGTACTCCTGCCCTTCCGGCAAATATAAAAATGGTCTATCTAGATCTGCCAGCTTTCCAGATGGATATCCGAAAGAATATAGTTTTACAGGGCCTTGAAACTTGGTTTAAAATTATTTTGTAGTGTTATATATAATTTCACCAAATTATACGGCATTCCAGCAACCAGCAAAAAAAAAAAATCGAGGACATGTCATCCCCCCCGATGGCTTGATCAACATTAACAAATTGATGGTTGCTCGGTGCACAGTAGACTAAAACATTTTGTTGGCAACTAAATTCATGTAGTTGCTAACTAAATTCTTTTGGTTACATTTTGCTGCCAGCCAGCAGCTAGATTCCAATATCGGCAGCAGAATGTAAACAATGGCTGAGAAAATTTCAAATTACAATAGCCATTAGCAGGCTGGCTATTGTGCCCACCCATTGAGCAGAAGAGCAGACCTGAGAGAATTGTTTTCCTCTGCTTGGTGGGTGGGGTTTTAATAGCCAGCTGGCAACTGAAACCCTACCTACTCATCAGAGCTGAAAGAAAGTTCTCTCAGGTCCACTGCTCTGCAGTGGGCGGGCTAGTAGTCTGACTATTGTTCCCAGCATTTTTTATTCACCTGTCGGCTACGGCGGAAGCGGGTGCCGCAGGGGGGATGGTTGCTTGGGTGTTACTATTAACTTTTAAGCAACCAGAAACTACTGTTTACTGTGTGTAATAATTATAACTATATATACATATAATTATCCAGAATAATTCTTTTGAAAGGAGACTTCAGTTTTGTTGGCATGTACAGTGATTTTTGTACTTCTGAAACTTGAATCACTTTTATAATTTCCCTTTCTAGGCTCAGTTTGACATTGCTGTTGCAAGTGAAATTATGGCCATACTTGCCTTAACTGACAGCCTGGGTGACATGAAGGAGAGATTCGGAAGAATGGTCTTGGCTAGCGACAAAAAAGGACAGCCAGTGACAGCAGAAGATTTGGTAAGAGTTATTTTCTAGTTAAGGTTTTCAGTTAAGGTTTTCCATTTCTTTAACTTGCCTACGCTATAACATTTTCTTATACCCCTACAAGCCCTAAAGGACAAAAATGTTTAAAGAAAGTTTTCTTAAAGTTTAAATACCGTTTTTGTACCCCAATACTTCCCCTTCCCTATCCTGAGCTGATCTAACCCACAGCGACCTTCATAAGTGGCATACTTGCCCGATTCTGGTGTCTAGTCCAGCCGCATCCTACCACAGTGTTTTTACCTCAACGTCTATTGTGCGGCCTGAGCTAAACGTCATGGCAGGGCACTCCTGGACTGGCTAGAAAAACTAGGTAAGTATGCAGCTGAATGTTGTTCTCCTGTGTTTTCCACATGGCTTGGTCTTTCCACCTGCTGACCACTTTGTCATTGTGTCCTGTAGTGATGTGAGTGTGGGGTGAAACACAGATCAAGACTTTCAGAAGTTTCGGCTTCTGCATAGACTTGGGGGGGGGTTCGTGTTTAACAGATTTCAGTGGCACAGGCAGCAAGAAAGGTAAGTATGCACATCCCTCTGCACAGGCACTTCTTTACTTCTTTTATTTCAACTTCCCTTTTTTGACAGAATTGCATTATTCTGTAATAAGTTTTCAGTGGATCCCACTATTTTGTGATGGGCCTGTTTTTGTGAGGGCTGCGTCTCAACATATTAGAAAAATGAGCACTAGTTTCTAGTAACTTGAAAGAGAATTATGAGGTAACCTTTTTATCCCATAGTTCTCTTTAGGGTCACGGGAGGACATAGCTCAGTATATAGAGGGCTATTGTCCATTATATACCAAGAGCGCCACGGCCAGGACGGATCCCGACAATACTGTTGAGATCCAGCTGGCTGATTGACAGCGGGCTTTGCCTATCTTCCCCCCATCCGTTCCGCCAGTCATCACTGGAGGATCGGAGCGAGGGGGTGGGGGGGAGATGACGAATACCTGCGGGGACCACTACGGGGTCACCACTCTGCAGGGATATGATGAATGGTAAGTGAGTGACGACGGTATATGTTCGCTCACTTCCCAATCTATAGAGTATGACCGTTTCAATGTCCAACGTTGGCTCTAACTATGTGGATGAGTGAAAATCACTCACCTCATAGTTCTCCTTTTTAATTTGCTCATTATTGCTACAACCCCTTTAAAGAACAGTACACAAAGAACAGCCATAAAGGCAAACACAAAATTTATCAAATGCCAGTACATTATCAAGATGCATGTGATAAAGAAAAGACATGCAAAATGATCCTAAGCATTTAACCTTCCTGGTGGTATTCCCGGGTGTGGCTCGGGGTTAATTTTCTGTACCATAAGCTGTAATCCTGAGCCACACTCAGGAATTCAGAGTAGCGTCTCTTACCTTGTCCCTCGAGCCACGCTGTGTCCTACGGCCGATGCCGGGTTCGTCCCTTGCAAGCTTTCACTTTGCAGGGGGGGCGGAACCGGCGGGTTTTTTAAACGAAAAAAAGGAAAGAAAAAAAAAATAATCGGACTGCCAGGGAGGTTAAACCTGACAAAAACTGAAATCCGCTTGAGCCATAGATCAACCACAGGTGATACTTGGCCAAAATGGAATTTCATTTTTTATTTTTACCAAATTTGTTCCCTCAAGTGAATGCTAGATGTTTGCTCTGCTTCTTAGTTAGAAGGTGATTGACAGCTGCCACCTTACTGTATCAATTAAGTTGATCTGGCATAGATTAGTGGCTCAACGAGCATTTGATATATTACCTCAATATGGAACCGTTTGTTTTAAAAATTGTGATCTTTGGTTACATGCATGGGATTTCCCTTTTTGGTTTATTATTAGCACCATATGTGATTCATAAGTCTAAACTGTTTTTTTTTTTTTTTGCATTTTAGTGAATACTTTAGTTTTTAACTGAAAAGCAGTGTGGTTGCCTTTTGGCAGGAAAGAAAACTAAGTAGATTAACAGACCACAGTGAATAAACACCTCAATAAAGCCATCATGTGGCTTGGTTTCGGTTTCTCTGTATTGCGGTTTTATTGGCGTAGATTTTTCACTGTGGTCTGCTAATTTACTAGCATTTATTGAGCATCTGACTCTGTTACGGCAGAATAATTTGTGTTTTTACTGTATAATTGGCATAGTTTTGTTACATTTTCCTTTTTAAAAGTGCCCTCTTTACCATATGTTTATGTTTAATGGAGGACTGCACTTTGTGCTTAAAGTGTGTATCTAATACCAAATTTTTTGGTTTTATAGTACAGAAAATACCTGTAAATCTTGCAAGAAATGCAGTGTCCTTATTAAGCTGGCCATACACTTTTTTTTTTTTTTCTCATTCAGCCCTGTAGGTTGATTGAGGGGGGAGCTTGATTTCCCCCCATACATGCTAAACTGTGGAAATCCCCCCTGCCAGGCTTTTGTATTCTGACAGTGGCTGTCAGAGTACCTGAACATTGAGTGCATCTCATTGGCTGCAGTCATTGTTTGGCTGAGAATTTTCAGACCTTCAACAAAAGTCGATTGACAAACATTGTCGATGGGGCAACACACTGCTTGAATTTGACTGGCTGAAATTTTTAGCAGTGTATGACCCGCTTAACTTTCTATGAGATGAAAAGACTGTAATAAACATGATCTCTGTAATCAACTAGTCCCATCACTTTTTCCATGTAATGGGAATGAACAAAGTTCAGTCTGTGTAACCACCATGTCCGCTTCCAGGAAGTGCGGTCATTTCAGAATTACAGGAAAAATAGGGGATCCTTCCTAACCTGAAAACCTGTTTAAGGTCAGTGATTGAGAAAGTAGCAAAGCCAGTGTATAACAGTCGGCCAACTAGCATTTGCAGAAGTAGATCAACAGTGAGAAGATAGAGCAAGTGGGGGGTATTCAATTTAAATAATTTTTAAAAACCAAAGTGAAGTATATTGCAGCTCAAGTCCTAGGTGTGGTGGCGCCAATATTTTTTTTTTTTTTTCAGCAAGTACTTAAATACACTTTGATCTTGGTAGAAATGCAGTGTGCTAAAGCACACACTTGTGTGTAAACAACTAGTCCCATCAATTCATCATGTAATGAAGATGAACATGAACAACGGTGGACATGTTTGAAGTCCAGCTGGTGTGACAATCATGGCTGCCTTAATGGATTCTGGCGAAATATGCATAGCCATTAAGGAACAGGAAGTGTATTGAGTAGAAAATCACTAGCATTCACAAGGTTCAAAGTGTGAATTCTTGATTTTCTTTATTGAGCATGTGTCATCAAAGGCAAAGTTTTGAGGCCATGTAGGGTCCCTTCATCAGGGTGACATAGTATAGGACAAGAAGTGTTTTATTTGCAATATTGGCATGTGAAAAAAGGAGAAAGGCCTGGAAAAAAACTAATACAGCCAGCCACTACGTCTAAGGACTGGTAAGCTGCAATATATAGAATGTTTGTTTTGAGCTTAGATACGCTTTAAATAGTAACGGTATTTAGTGTGTCTGTGTAAGCAGAAAATACCTGTTGCAGAAAAAAAGCTGGTTAAGAACTATCAAATGTGTGACATCTATAGGCCATATTTTATTTATGTTTTTAGCCTTGTCCGTCTCGTGCAGTTGGGATAAAGAGGCAGTATGTGTCATAGGCTGGATGCCTTGTACAAATAGCTGGCACATGTCAGACCCCTGCTGCAGTGGTATGGCAGACGTTTCCCAAAACCTGGACAATTTCAGCAGTGAAAAGTTAGTGCATATTCCTTTTGACTGCCTCGCTGGCAAATAATATGTAGGAGCCGGAAAGGGGTGTGCAAGCTTTGCTGTCAAAATTACCCAGGATATAGCTGTGACGGGAGGGTTAGGCACCCTGCAGCTCTCAATTTTTATTTAATTTTGACAAAAACTAGCAGTTTTGAAGGAGTCGGAAATGATGGCCTTTACCCAAAACTGACTCTCCATCACTTATGGTTAAACTCCAGAAATGTAGTTGGCGTTCTAATTACAAGGTTCATTATCATACATTGGAGACTTTGAATATCTCCCTTTCAAACTCGACTGTTCTCGACCTAAGGTTGCTTTCTCCTTTTAGGTGGGCACCCTCTCACATTCTATATTGGGCATCACATCACCTCTGACCTTAGCAGTGTTTGCTAGATTGTAACATGGATTTGTAGTCAAGCTCAAACAGGATCGTTCTACTTTGCACCAGGGTGAAAGGAATGTCCTACCAAGACTCCCATCTCTCTTTAAAACCCTACTGTTTTCATACCAATGGTTTCTTTGCAAGGTTCATGTGACTTTTGTCAGGTTTCTTTGGACCCAGAAAACGGCAAGTTATAGGTTTTCTGGATTCGATCCATTACTATGAAGCCACACTATTGAAGTGGTGCATTCTATAACCACCTCCAAAAATACACACAAACACAGTATAATCTCCAAATTTTCCATTACATTTAAAAGATATTGTGTGGAGTTAAACCCCACCAAAACATTGCAGCTTAATATAGCAGAATATATTGCAGCTTACCAGTTCTTAGATGTGGGGGTTGCATTACTTCTGTTTTTTTGGCTTTTTTTTTTTTTTTTTTCCCCTCGGTTTTTCTGTGAATGACGCACTTCCTGTTCCATCACACACTAGTTTGCTGATGTCTTCCCTGCTAAATTAATGTCACTTCCAGTTGTTCACCACAGTGGGGCTTATGAGCTGCCTATGTGATGGCAATTAAGTTGAGGGGGAAAAAAAAGTTTTTGAAAATAAAATCAAGATAAAATGTTTAAATTCCCTGGCCCTGCATACCTACACAAACGTGCATCAGGTGTGCCTACATACGAAAACAATGATTGTACCACTCTATTTTCTTTCGTTCATTGATGGACACAGGGAACAGATCTAGGATCTACCGTAGGGTAATATCGCCTCCCAGATCTGTTCCCTGTGTCCTTCAATGAACGGAGAGAAGGATTTTACAGAGTACAAAATCCAATTTTTTGGTGGAGTCTTCATGCCGGAGTAAG